ACAGGCTTGAAATATGATGAATCTTCTATCTCCTTTTCCTACTCGACTGACACTCGCTTTGAGGAAGGTTGTAAATGCAAGAGAGATTGTGGTATAATTCCTCAGACTGGCGTTTCTGCCCCCCAGTCACTATTCGATTATCTTCCAAATTGCTGTGTTTCAGAGAGATAAAGATTTTTTATGGCTTGCTGACTTGAAACAACCAGAAGAGCCAGAAAAGAGATGGCTAACCGGCCATGCATAGTAATTCCATTGGTAAATGACAAAATCTTTGTTTGTATGACATTTCCAAAATTACTACAGAAGATGAATCTAAAATACAAAATGTCACATTTGGCATGCAAAACTATCACAATATATTTCAGTATAAAATTCATAGAGGCGTTTAATTTAGAATGTGTTTAATAACGAAGTCTGCCTGCATCTGTAATCCTGCCTTGAGGTTTAAAAAGATTGTCTTATTTATTCACATAATGTTAATTTTTTTATATATGATTCAGAAACCAAAAATATTAAGGTTAAATCTTCATTGTTAATTAAGATTTTCTAATTAAGCTGAAAATAATTGTCATTCAGATTAGTTGTTAAGTATGGTTTGTGTTAAGAAACAAAAGAAGTTTAGCAAATTCAACTGTTTATTTAACTGCTTAATTTAATTCCAGAAGCTTTCTATCTATATGGAAATATGCTATCTCTTCCAAAATAAATCCAAGACAGGATTAAAGAAGAGATTATTAGCTACTGTAGGCTTAAACTGTGAGACTACTAAACCTAGTAGTCAAGGTAGCCATTTGATTCTGAAGCATGGCACGGATTCTTCTATCACATTACATTAAAAGACGATGACCTAACAGTAGTGTTTTCTCAAAATTATGGAAGACTGACTCCTTGGGGAGGTGTAGGGGGGGAATCATTGCTAGTTTGAAGCGCTAAATTATTAGTTATTAATTACTAGTTATTGCAGAAGCAATTTTATCTGTTGAAGTCAACACCGAGCCAAAGTGGGACTCCCTGTTACGTGCCTGACCCTGCACTTTGCGTTTGGGGCAGCACTGAAGTATCTGCTGGCGTGGTGGGATGGACCCTGCACCTTTACTCAGGCAAGACTCGTCCGGATCGTACCGCTGTGTCTGTTCCCCTCCGCCAACCTCCGTGCTACGAGCTTGAGCGTACAAGGAAAGCACCAGAAAGGCATTTCTGATACACAGCACAGCATTTATTCCACACTAAGCATTCTGTAACTTAGACAACATCTTGTCAACAGCAAGTAGCAGATGTTTCCTTTTGTCTGGACTTGGAATAAAGGTGCCTGTAGGGAGTTGTTATTAAACTCTACACATGTTGCACTTTGATTACTATTTTTAAGAGAATCTGATTATATGATAATCAGAAGGCGAAAGGATAGTCTGCACGTTACACAGCACTAATAGCTTTGGTAAGGCTAATAATTAGTATACAGACATGGCCTGCCCTGTCTTTCACGCTGTGCCTGCAGCCTGCTCATCGCATTGCTTGTTGTACTTGTCTTGCAACGCATGCTTTTCTGTTCAAAGGTGGTGTTTTCCAGTTAATTCTGCCTTATTGTTACAGACTAATTGCTTCCGGTGTCGTACTTCAACAGCTCCACCTTCCTCCCAAGGATCCTGAACGTTTTACGAGTAGTATTTGTATTATTTTTTTTAATCTATCATCTCTGTGACTTTTGACCTCCCTAATTGCAGATCCTCAGTTGGCAGTAGGTAATTGAAGGTGGAACAAGCAGCATGTTGTCTGCTTTTCAGTAGTTATTTCCCTGAAAAAATTTGTTCTTGCTAATTGTGTGGGTAAAGTCAACTCAACCCAGGTCGGTAACTCAGAGCTTTCTCTGTAGGTTGACTGCTCCAAGACACCGCAGCCGATAGAAATTCAAGTCAAGTGCCTGAGGGGAGTCAGAGATAAGGTCCCTAAAGGCCACTACACCCTCAAAGTTTCTGTTCTCAGCCGCTTAGGTGGTGGCTTGTTGGAGTGGCCCAAACTGAAGGAGCAGCCTCAGGCCAGGACAACGCTGCCTGTTAGTCACGATGGAAACTTCTACAACACTGAAATCTGCTTCGGACAAAGTATCCAGACAGTAAGCGACACTTGTTAAATATGCTGTCTTTGCTTTGAAAGTTAAAACACATCCACTCTTTCTCCTTCAGGCTTATATATTTAATGCATTCCATCATGTTCATAATTTATTTAATAATTTAAGGTGCAATTTAGGAAGGTGCAATTTTTTTTCCCCTAGGTTAACCCTCATCACTCACTCTAAAAGTGCCAAATATACGCTACATCATATAGTGTTGTCAGCTAATTTTAAATTTTACTTTTATTCTCTCTTATCTATGCAGCTTGTCAGCTATGTAATTTGATTTCTGTAAAGTAGCTTTAGAATAGTAAATGAACGAGTGGGTGTATATAAACACATGAATGCCCAAATCCTTCTGTGAGTTTTTAGCTCCATTGACCCCCATTTGCCAAAAAAGCAGCATTTGGATTATTTTGGAAGGAGACCAAACACTTGAGGCTCTATTCTGTCTTTCGCGACTGAGGCACACATATTTTCCTGCCTAAGCATGCTGTGCGTGGCAGGATTGTTGTGTGTTAGTTGCTCACTGTTGTAGCTAATGTCTAGTGCTGGTTGAAACATTGGTCTCAGATAAACTCTCTGGCACAGGAAAGCTTCTTTACGGTTTGAAAAACAACCCCCATCTCTTTGTGTGATGGGGTTTTTTTTGTGTGTGTGTCTGTGTATGTGTTATGAGGCATTGGTAGAATGAGAGGGAGATTTTTTTCCTATTTCGATTATTTATTTTGTAGTATGACCTCAACGGTAGATTTTTCTCCTCCACCCCTTCTGCTGTGTGAAGTGTTGTGTAGATGCAGAACAGACAGTTCCTGCTCCACAGAGCTTTCAGATAAAGCAACTTTTATGTATGGTGCTGACGCTTTCGGTTACTTGCAGATAGGCCATTTCAGCTGTTGGGTTTGTGGTATATCAAGTGCTGCTAAATCATGTTTTTTGTTTTTTAATTGTTTATCATCTGTAACTGATAATGAACAGTGTCTGTAAATACAGCTGTTGGTATGAAAAGAAACATGCGTATAGAGAGGGAAATTGTGAATGTGACTGTCATACGGCGTTAAAACAAATACATGTGTCTGTCAGAGAAATCGCTGAGCTGGGATTCCTCCCCAGGCAGGATGCACACATCCTCCTTACTGCTTCGAAGACAAAGCACTGTCTTCTCAGGCTTCACTGAAAGGAGGAGAAGGCTACGGGCAGTACAACCGGATGACTT